TGGCTGATGGAAATATAACACCTGACGTTCTAGAACATTTATCTCAAAGAACTACACAGAACCATAGAGATGGTATATTTGGTGAAGAGTTTAGAAAGAAAGTTAGGGAGAGCGAAGGAAGAGAACCTATTGTACATGACCTTGCAAACGAAAGTTTACAAAATGTCATAAAAACTTACTTTGCAGACAATGAACCGAGAAGGGATGAATATTTAAGAAAACTCAAATGGACAGTACCAAATGAAATGTTAGTATTGAAAAAACATGTTCCTTGACAAAATAAAACCAACTACAGAAATAAACGACGCAAGACTGAAAGATTGGGTAAAAGCTTTCCCATTCACAAAAGATATAGTTGGTAACATGGAAAGAAAACCAGAATGGCTACAAAAACATATATTTGGAAACGAGCATATTCCATATGGACAGGCACTGTTTGAAGAGCTTGAACCAGAAACTCAGGAAAGAGTCATGCAAACAATACGCAAAGACTCAAATACAGACTATGACAAACTCTTTCTAGGATATAGGTTACCTGAGATGGGCGACCAGAGCCAAAAGGCAAAAAGGACATGGGAAATTTGCAACATACTAGATGAACATAATGCAAAGATGCAACAACTTCAAGCAGAGGGCAATGAAGGAAAAAGAAGAGTTAAAAACTCAGTCAGGAAGAAAGTAAAGCTTGGTCGGAGTGGGTTCTATTATGACATATAAATCCAACTATTCTATATTTTTACTCATATGAAATGTACGCCGCTCAGAATATAACGCCAACAGTTTTGGATGCTATGAATGGAAATGTTTCCGAATGGTATAACGAATGCGACAATGCCATTAGAAGGTCAGAAATAGTTCCTGGAACTTACGAATATACAACTGCTGTTTCTTATGGAAACGTAGGTGAGTTTGGAGAAGGTTCTTCAACAACAGTAGATATTGCTTGCGACAGGTTTCATATAATTTCTATTGACAACTCTTTCTTATACGTGGAACAAGACATTGAAATAAAACCTTCTGCCAAGTTGTCTGACAAGAAAGGTTGCAATGGAATTTTCTATGTCGGATACCAATATGCTCCAGAAGTTTTCATGGGATATAAGATATATTCTAACTCTGACTTAGTTCAAACAGTAACATGGGCAAACTATGAATGGTTCGCTTTGAGAAACTCAGTACAACCACAAGCTAGAGAACAAACAGACCAGTATGCAACTATTGAGAAAATAAGAAGACTTGACCCTAACGTTCCAGGAGTTTATGTTAACCTTTCTGGACAAACTGCAGCAGCAGTAACCAAAGTAAAACTGAAACTTAGAGTTCCTTTGTCATCTTTCCTCATCTTCAGGTTTTTAAGATACTTGCCAAACTGGGCAGGAAAAATTTCTATCGAACTTACTCCAAGCAAAAATAACTTAGTCATTGCACCAACACAAGACCCATTCACTCTTACAGAAGTAGTGGGAACAAATAAAATGTCATTCGCCGACTTTTGCAAAAACAAAGTTGACTTAGACTTTGGTTTCTCAAACCTCAACACTGAAGTAAACTATTATTTCAATGCTGCTGGAGATGCTTGGACCCAGTTAAGTTCACATGCGAAAAGTTTGAATGCAAGAGAATAGAAAGCAGACTTGCAGTCTATATGTTGGACCCAGATATTTCAAATGCTTTAGCTGCCAAATATATTGCAGTTCCACTTATGTTCCCTATACACCAAATATCTGTCAAAGACTTTGCAGGTGAAGTTGGAAACCAAAATCCAGGAACCGCAGGTGCAAGAACAGATATTGCCTTAACAACTGCAATGAAACATGCAGATACTATGTTTGTACTGTTCAGACGAACTATAAATGACTATTCTTGCTTCTACAACCCTGGTATTAAATACCATATAAACATAGATGGCAAATATTATCCAAGAGAAGAATATTCTACAGTTGAGGATATGAGGTCATACAACTTGACATTAGATGCTATGAACTTTAACAACAACTTCACAACAACCATTAACCTGAAATGCAAAGTTCTATTATGCCATATGTGAAAGTATGGACTCATACAGGAGGTCAAAAAACTCAATATACAAATGGAGACCGTTCAAACTTTTGGCTTGGCATTCCATTTGCTGACTCAGAAGACTTTATGGGTGGTATTTCAACTGTTGGTACAGTTCAAATACAATATACTGGTGACAGAGACGGTCCAGATGAATTGAAAGCAAAGAAGTTTACAAAACCAATAGCACTTTTCACGGAAGATGCTCTTTTGAAGATTCGTTCGATGAAACCTGCTGGGGCTCCTCAGATTGGCATATAACGACAGCTTCCATCGAGCAGATTTTGGCAGCAGGTCAGTAAGTTGTTCTTGAACTGACTTCTCTCCGTCAAATATTGACAGTACGCCAGTTTTGACATTAAAATTGTATTATAAACTTTCCTTTAGAAATATCGGTCAGTTTTGTTGTTATATTTTGTCTGCTTCAAGAACTTTCACCATCTCGGTTATACCAACTTTCTTTGCTTTATGAAAATATTTTGGTTCAGCAAAGACTGCTATTCTATAACATTTTCCATTGTTTGTATAAAGAACTATTCTGTCAATGAACTTGTATTGTTTGTGTGTGTAAACTTTTTTTGCTTCAATTCGAAGAGATACTCAAATACGTCCATCTTTTTATTCTAAGTAAAATGTCATTTCCGAAAAATAGAAGCGTAAGTGTTTCAAAAGGTTTAATGGCGGTGGCAGATGTGAAGTTAAATTCACCAACTCAAACAAACAGTCAAAGTGTTGTTGTCAATGTCAAAGAAAGAGATGTTGAAGTGGGGAAACCATACGAAGACGAAGATGGTATAACAATAGTTCCTGTAAAAGAACAACCAACATATCCTGAAGTTAGCAGAGACTTAAGTTCTGTTGCAGATATTCGAAACGACTACCAACAACTTAAAGACAAACTTAAAACTCAGGAGAAGATTTGTCAAGCTTTGGGTATAATGTTAAACTTGGTTGAGCACAACCCTGTAAAAGTGAACTCATATGTCATCGCACCTCATGAAGTTTTGAAAGAACTATTGAAACTTTTGACAGAGGCAGACGATATAAACATCAAAGAAATAGAACCTGACATTGCTTGCTGTGGTGTTTCATATAATGTCATTGACAAGATATACGTTATGAAAGGAGGTGAAACCTTGAACTTAAAATATAGTTTCCCAGACGTCATAAAAAATATTTGACGACCACAACATTTCATTAAAATTACTTGCTAAGTAAATGGCAGAAGACATAGTGGTTTATACTATTACGACTAAAAACCCTGAGTCATATAATTCTATAACAACAAACTTACAAAGTCCTCAAGGACGATATTGTAAACTGACCTTAAACACGATGACGACTAAAGCCTGTTTTGCTCTTTTGACACCAGAAGACTTTGTTGTTGTGAATGGTAAAAAATACTTCTTTGAAGATACTTACTCAGATATACCACCAACAGGTTTGTTGACTTATTTAATACTTTAAGGACGGATGTAACATGTGCTGCAACTAGAGCAGGTTTCATTATGTTTGGATGTCCGACTGAGTTTAGTATAAACGATATGAGCTATAATACAAAACTTATATCTGGTTTTTACTACCAACAGTTTCCTATAACAGGAAAAGGTGTCATACAAGGTTTGTCTGTTCCATTGACTTTAAGTACACCTATTTTATATATTGTTTCAAACTTAGGTTCAAAGTGCTATTCGAATATCGACAGAAACTACTATGACAAAAGATACTCATGCGTATAAACAACACATTCTCTGCTGGTTTGCCTATTGTTCATTCGAATGCAGAGTTTTCAGCTTTAGTGAACTCAAACACTTTGGCAAACATAAACTTAACCTTAGTTGACGCAAACTTTGTTCCTGTAAAACTTTTATGTCCTATGTATTTGTCAATGACGGCAGAAAGTTTCGAATTGGAAGATGCAACTGGTGAAAGTATTGTACTACAAGAACAACTTCAACAACAAATAGCTCAAGAACAACAAATGCAACAAATGGAACAAATGCAACAACAAGCTCAAGAATAAAAAAATATTTTTTTTTATTTTTATAAAAATGTACAGAATAGATGTTTCAGATTTTTATGACTTCCAAGCATTCAGAAATATGTGTCCATTTAGAGACTATAACAAAGCAGTCGAGAATTTGAAACGTTTAGTCATTTATGTGTCGACTCTGCCCCAGAATGTTATGTCATGAAAGAATGGGATGTTGTCTTTAACAAACCAAGAGCGACAATAGTTTCAGAACAAGAATGTAGACAGAAACTTAAGAAAATAAAAGTCGTACAAGTTGGAATGAAGATGTTAGATGCTTGGGATATCTTATTGTCAAAGTTAGAAGATTTTTCAGTTCGTGTATAAAGTTCTATACACCTTCTCCAAACTTCTATTCTATCTTCACTGGATATAAATACGAACAAGTAGAATGGAAAGAAAATGTTATAGAAGCTTGGTTAGACCATGTCAAAGAAATTATATGCAATGGAAACGAAAGAGTCTATGAGTATATCTTATGTTGGTTTGCAAACATCTTACAACATCCAAGTGCTAAAAAATGAAAACTGCTCTCATTATAATTGGAAAACAAGGAACTGGTAAGAACACTTTCTTTTACAGATATCTTATGCAAACTGTTAGAGGGCTATTCGAACCCTAATATGACAAAACTTAGAAAACATCTGCGGTAAATTTAACTCTTCAATAGAGAATATGAAACTTATAGTATGTAACGAAC